CAGACAATTATTTATGACTGGGTACCAGTTTTCTGCTCTAAATGCATGCAAATAGGGAATAAATGCATCCCTAATGAACAATAAGCACCAAAGCCAAGAACTAAAAATCAGAAACAGGAGCAAGAATGGAAACAAAAGCTAATAGTTATCGGGAAGGAAGCACAACCAACTAGAACCAGGAGAAAGCCACAACTACTATGCGGAGAAATCAGGGGAACTAACAGACCACCAAAAAAGGGAGATGAAAGGCAAAAAGTAAAAGAGAAATCAGTTTCTAAAGGACCCCAGAAAAGCATACAAGATGTACACATGCTCAGTACTGCTAATAGATTTACCATATTAAATGAATCAGAACCAGGTATGGCAACTCAAGGTGAAGCAGCTGGAAGGGGACAATGTAGTTATGTAGTGGAACTAGGCCTACCCAAATAATTTTCATACCAGTATGAAATTAGTTACTTGGAACATTCGGGGCCTAAAGAAAGTGTATAAGCAGAAGGAGATTAGTTGTTTATTAAGAAGAGTAAAGTTAGCTTGATGGATATTTTAGAACATAAAGTAAAAGAATGCAATATAGTACAGATTATGAATAAAATAGCTCCTGGATGGTGTTCGGAAGCTAATTACTTACATAGCAATAGAGGAAGAATTTTACTATTATGGGATGGTAAAGATGTAGAGTACAATTTGTTGGGAATATCCAGTCAATGCATACATACCTTAGCTGCTATCAGATCTCTGAATATAAGATTTACTTTCACAGTTGTGTATGGTCTGCACACAGTGGAAAAGAGGAGGTCACTTTGGAATGAGTTGAGAAGCTGGCATAGTGGACAACAAGGTCCATGGATATCAATAGGAAATTATAATGCAATAAGCTCTAATAATGATGGAGAAGTTTGAAGCCTTGTTCAAGAATGGGAAGTCAAAAACTTTAATAGCTTCATGGAAGATACTGGATGCCTGAAACAAAGTCAATAAGAAGAAATCACATATGGACTAATGGGCACACTTATAGTAAGCTGGATAGATCTCAGGTCATCACTAAATAGATACCAAGTATGCCTCACTTAAAAGTGTTAGTGATGAAGCCTACTTGTTCTGATCACTCTCCCCTTAGTATTAAGCTTGATGCTGAGGAGGACCCAAGTCCTAAACCTTTTAAGTTTATGAACCAATTGGTTGAACATAATGATTTCTTAGAAGTACTCGTTGGGGCTTGGAATGGAAATTCAGGAGATCATATTATGGAAACAGTCTAGATGAAACTTAAAAAGGTAAAACAAGCAATGAAGGCCTTGAATAAAGCCGAGTATGATGGTGAGAGAAATAGGGTAAAATAATGCAGGCAACAACTCTTAGAGCAACAAGAACAAATGGAAGAACCAGGCCAATCTGTAAACAAGATTGAAGCTGAAAAAAAGATGAAATTGCAATTGGAAAAATGGGTGAACATAGAAGAGAGCATATTGAAAAAGAAATCTCGAGTTCAATAGTTGAAGTTGGGGATACTAATTCTGCCTATTTCTCTGCAAGCTTGAAACAAAAAAATGCCTAAAATAAGATTAAGAGTCTCATCAATAGTAATGGGGGAGTATTATAAACGAAGGAGGCCAATGAAGAAGAGGTGATGGGTTTCTATAAGCAACTATTAGGATCAATGGAATGATTTTGACATCGGTATATTAGTAAAACTCCTTCTCCAGCAAAACAATTACCTGCAATTAACCCAAATGTCATGAGGGATGACCCAGTTTTGAATAGAAAACAACAGCTTCTGCTGATTGCCCTTATAATAAGTGAGGAAATATATCAAGGCTTGAAAGATATCAGTGATCACAAAGCACCTAGGTGTGATGTCTTTGATGCCATGTTCTTTAAGAAAGCTTGTCCTATTATTGGAAATGAAGTTACTGCTGCAGTGCAAGAAGTTTTTTCCAAAGTAAATTTGTACCGAGCTATCAATTGCACTACTGTCACTCTTATCCTGAAAGTTGCTAATCCTTCAAAGATCACAGAGTACATACCTATATCTTAATGTACATTGTTATACAAGATAATCTCAAAGGTTCTTACTAAGAGGTTGCAGAAAGCTATAGACAGGTTAGTGGATAAAAATCAATCTACTCTTATCCCTGGTAGATTGATCAGTGACAATATTATCTTTATCCATGAATTAGTCAAAGGATATGGTAGAAAGGGATTATCGCCAAGATGCATGTTCAGAGTACACAAGAATAGAGCATATGATTCATTAGAATGGGGTTACTAGGAGTAGATTTTAGTATGTCTACAATTTCCAGCTAAATTTGTTGGATGGATCATGAGATGTATCAAGACAGTATCATACTCCATAATACTCAATGGTCATCCAACAGTCCCTTTCCCAGCCAAGAAAATATTAAGATAAGGAGATCCCCTCTCATCTTTCTTATTTGTTTTGGAAATGGAATACCTCACAAGGCTTCGAAAGCAACTAAGGAAGAACCTCAACTTCAACTATCACCCAAAATACACTAAGATGAATATTGTGCAATTAAGCTTTGTTGATGATCTCCTTTTGTTATGCAGAGGAGATACTATCTCCAGTTGATGTATGCTCACTTTCAGGAATTTTCTCAAGCTTCTGGTTTGGTAGCAAATGCAGACAAAAGTTCCATATATTTTGGAGGAGTAAGTAGTGACATTCAACAAAAAATGTTGCACCTGCTAAGCTTCTCGCAAGCTCACTCTCTATCAAATACTTAGGGGTAACCCTTAGCACTAAAAGAGTATCAGTAGCACAATGCAAACCTCTTATTGATAAGGTGTTAGGGAGAATTCAATCATGGACTACAAGGTTCCTATCATATACTGGTAGAATTCAAATGATCAGAAGTGCTCTATAAGAGGTGTTGAGTTGTCAAAAAACATTGATTGCATAGGACAAACTATGTTATCCTAGATCAGCGGGAGGGATTAACATCCTTGATGTGATCATATAGAACAAGGAAGCCATATGTAAACTCTTGTGGAATTTGTGTAAGAAGAAAGATAAGATGTTGGTGCAGTGGGTTCATATTTATTATGGGAAGCAAGGTACAGTGTGGGGAGCACAACCAAAGCAAGCCTCATGGATAGTACAAAAGATTATGAAGCCAGGAAAATACTATAAGGAATTTGGCTGGACAGAGGATGAGATACAAAGAACTGAGAAGTTCTCCATCAAGGAAATTTATCTGAAGTTAAGAGGAGAAGGTTAATTGGAGGAGGTTAGTATGTACAATGTTGCTTCTCCAAAATATATTTTCAGTCTGTATTTGGCCACATGTGGCAGGTTGCTTGCCAAGGAGAGGCTAGAAAAGTGGGGATGTCTAGATAATGTGAGTTATTCCTTATATGAAGCACATTAAAGAACATTGATCATTTATTTTCAATTGTACCTTCTCTGCACAAGTTTGGAGAGCAATATTGTAGTGGCAAGGCATACGACGACAACCTATGAACTGGCAACATGAGATAGAATGAGCAACCACACATTATAGGGCAAGAATGCAACAGCTGAAGTCTACAGAATGAGCCTAGCAGGATCCATCCATTATATATGGCAGGAGAAAAACCTTAGGATCTTTCAAGCTAAGAGTAGAAATGCAACGTAGTTTATTAGAGCTATTGTACAAGAGATACATTGTAGAGGATGAATGAAGCAAAAATTAGCAAGAAGATTGCAAGAGTTAGATTACTATCCGTGTTCTTAACTGATATATCTGGATACGATCTTTTTTTTATAGATAAGGAAGGGCAGTGAAGCTTACACACATGGGGTTGTATGTCCAGTGTGTGTTCTCTTTTTCTTATGTTTTGTAAATATTATGTGGTAAATAAAATCTTTACTTACCATAAATAAATAAAAATAGGCATGCTGCAAGTAATTGATTTAGGCAGGTTAAAAACAACTCAATAAAATAACTTACAGCAGTTTCTTGATAAACATGCAAGTTGCGAGCAGTTCATGCAGACAACTTGCAAGCAGCTGTAGAAAAGCGTTGCAACGACTTTCTTTATTTTATAAATAGGGAGCCAAAATAGTCTGTTATGTACATCGATTTCAAGAGAAATAAAATCTATTTCTCCCCTGTAATCTTTAACTATATTTCTTGTCTTGCATTTATATTATTTATAATACCTATTTTATTTTAAGTTATCCTCTTGCTTAGCTAGCCTGAAAATTTTGGTGCCAACCAAACTAGCTTTACGAATAAAGCTTTCTTCAAATTGACTGGTTGTTGTTTACCGATTGGTGCACAACTGAGATTCTTTTATCTCTATGTTCAAACCAATCAAAGAGTTAGCTTTTTTTTTTATATAAAATAAGATCAACTAAATATTTTCTTCATTTAATGGTCGACCAATGGGCACCAAACCCATTCATATCCAATTTGTTCACGGCGCCGTAGTAAAGAGAAAGAGGCCCCATTCACTCTACTACTTGCAGATAACATTTTGTTTTCAGTCTTAAGTCTTAACTAGTCATTACTTTTGGTGACATCCCCAGATGGTGGCCCCTTAAGTTTAAAAAAGAAACACATCTATGTATGAGTCTGTTCTCTTACCTTATTAATTAGTTGTATGTTCTATTGTGGAAAACTTGAAGAAGTCGTACAGGTTATGTGTCTATGCAAGATAAATACGATTTCGAACATTTAATGTACCCTTTTAATAATGTGGTAACACCATGTGCAAATTGTATGAAGATTTTGTTTCAACTTTCAACTGCGCATTTTCCGATCCAACAAAATGAAACGGTGCGGTGAGATAGTTGAATTTTTATCAGCCTTAATAAGAGAATAGCGTAACCTTTCAATTTGTACAGCTTTATTATTATATTTAGTGTGAATCTGAATTAGTTATATTTCGAATACTATAAAAAAAAAAGACATGTCGTTGTTGGCCGCTTCATAAGTCAGCTTTCCATTATATATATATGTATGCTAAAGTTAATTGTGACTCATCGTTCGCTTCCTCCATTAATTACTCCCACATCACCAATATTCTAGAGCACATATTTCACGTTTTCATTCACGTCCATTTCATGAATACATAACACCACCCAACCTTCCAACTTTTTTATGCCTCCCCCTACTCCAATCCTTTATCTCTTTAAATTTAGATATCATTTGCAAATTGCAAACTCCCCAACACCTCTTGTCTTTCTTGCCTTTCTTTTTCTTTTTTAACCTGATATACGTGTCCCCAAACACGGACGTTTTATTGCTTAGCGCATTTTCTTAGTATTAATAAAGTAAAGTAGTGTCTAATCACCATCATCATCGTACTTTGCTTTGTATTATAGCTGGAGATAATCAGACACCATATTGGGAAAGAAAACAGAAAAAAGAAACTAGTAGTAGTAATGAATAACCCCAGAGATTGGCCAGAACCCATAGTCCGAGTACAATCTTTATCAGATAGTGGCATCTACAAAATTCCAGATAGATATGTGAAGCCACCAACGGAGAGGCCAATATCATTACATACTAATGATGTTAACATCCCGATCATTGATCTTGAGGGATTGTTTAACGATGAAAGCACAAGTTTAGTTGAGCAAATATCAGAGGCATGTCGGAACTGGGGTTTCTTCCAAGTGGTGAACCACGGGGTTCCTACAGAGCTCATGGACCAAGCCAGACAAGTATGGCGAGAATTCTTTCACCAGCCCATGGAAATGAAGCAGTCTTACGCCAATTCACCCAAGACTTACGAAGGCTATGGCAGCCGTCTTGGTGTAGAGAAAGCTGCCATTCTGGATTGGAGTGACTATTATTTTCTTCACTATCTTCCTTGTTCTTTGAAAGACCAGAAAAAGTGGCCTGCTCTTCCTCTTTATTTAAGGTACGTACGTACTACTCTGCCGCACTTCTTTTCTTGGAAAGTTACTCTACTGTTATATTCTGATTTTCCTTCTTTATATTCAATTTTAGGAAGATTATGGGGCCTCAAGATTTGTTGCCCTTTTTGTGGTTACTGTTACAGTGTAACATTTTTTCTTTAAAAGATAGGTAGACATTTTTTCTTAAAAAACATAAGAAAGGTAAGATGGGTTTCAATTTGATGTCTTGTTTTAATTATTTTCCGAGCAATTAGGTTTTCAAATAGTAGTAGTTTTCTGGAAATTTTTTGAAGAAAATCTTTTTGTGCCTGGTATTTTGTGTTAAATTCCTGTAAAAACATACAATTTGTTTGACTTTATTTTCAAAAAGTAAAAGAAAATTAAAATTCCGTTTTTAACAGTTTGCTTTTTATTTCTTATATAAATATAATTTCTATTTTTAAGTTCTTATTATAGTTCTACGAATTTGGAGTTTTTATTAAAAAAAAAAAGATTTAAGTTATATAACACTGATAATATATACTCCATCCGTTTCAATTTATGTGAACTTATTTCCTTTTTATCCCATACCAAAAAAGAATGGCATCTTTGCCTATTTGGAAACAATTTACCTTTATGCAATGATTTATAGCCACACAAAATATACATACTTCATTTTACACCACAAATTCAAAAGTCTTCTCTTTTTTTTTTATACTCCGCGCTCAGTCAAATGGATTCACAAAAAGAAGTAGTATATAAAAAAACTATCAGGACGTAGCAAGTTAGTAAATATTTTTACCATCTACTGCTTACTTTTAATTATATAACAATTGATCGATGTATAAATCTGAACGCTTATGCAAATGGTGTAACAAAAATGCAGGGAAGTAATTGAAGAGTATTCAAAACAAGTGGTGAATTTTGGGGGGCGTTTAATGAAGGTATTATCAGCAAATCTTGGATTAAGAGAGGATTACTTGCAAGATGCATTTGGAGGGAATGATATTGGAGCATGTTTAAGGGTTAATTTTTATCCAAAATGTCCACAACCAGATTTAACCTTAGGTCTTTCTCCACATTCGGATCCTGGTGGCTTAACCATTCTTCTCCCTGATCAGCACGTCGCCGGCCTTCAAGTTCGCCGGAACGGCGACTGGATTACGGTAAAACCAGCTTCGCATGCTTTCATTGTCAATATTGGTGATCAAATTCAGGTGAGTTAAATTACAAAAATTAACTTCTTTTTTTAGCTACTACTCAAAAATTTCACATGTTGTGTTTGTGTGGACATAAATGGAACATATCACATGGGAGGGGTCTTGTTTTCATATGATTTCCAAATAAACCAACAGTCAGTACCACTTTAATTTGCTTTTGTTCCTGGTAAAGCAAAAAGTATTATAAACGTGCGTATATTAATTAATATCATGCCTTACCAAATGCTGTGTCAGTACGTTCGGATAAAGTAGAAGGCTGAAAACAATATATTTAAAGACATATTGTAGATTGCATCAACCAGCTGTTTAATTAAGGAAAAGTCTTAATTAACTTTTAGATAAATACCCATTTGACCATCAATACTACTCGCTCCAATTCCCAAAATTTGCTTTTTGAGACTTATCTTAAAAAGTAAATTTGAATTAGATCTAATTCAATATTTTAAAATCAAAATCAAAATTTTTAAAAACTATAAAAGTACTGTAAGTTGCAAATCTTCTCATGTCAATATAATAAAAAAAAATTATGTTTCAAAATATTGATCATAGTTTAAATCTCGAAAAGCAAAAAGTATAAATAATTTGGAAAGAATGGAGTAGTACTTATTCTCAGTATTTTGCAAATAGTTAAGCTGTTATAGTAAATATAGTGGTGAATTATTGAACATCTTGTTTGAAAATTATTTAGATGAAATTATGATTTTTACTCACATTCAAGTGAAATTGATGTTAAAATACAATTCAAAAGTCATTCCCCCACTAGAAAACTAGATAGCTACAACAGCTTTAAAAATTAGAAGAAAAAAAAAGTCTTTAGCGCATGCACAAAGACCAAATGCAATCAAATCCCATCTAATGTTTCGAAAGAGATATTGCAACTGTAACATATATTTTGTAAATTTTTTCAAGATTTTTTTAGTGATATAGATCATTGAGGATATAGTTTAAAAACATTTTAAAGTATGACCAATTGTAATGACGCTTTTAGATAAGTTTTACAAAAGTCATAATACTTGAATTTATAATTAATGAACCTATCACGTGGACAGCCGAGGAAAAGTTGATATATGAACTATGGCAATACAAAAACACGTGGTTGTTAAATCTTGGATCAAAGAAGTTTTTTTAAAAGTTCGTATACTTTTTCCTGTGTATTCATTCAATATTAAACAATATTAAGAAACTGAAAAAAGTTGTTTGGCTATTTCCAAATACTTTTATGTAATAACACAAACCCTTTAAAATACAATAACTATCCAATTTTTTTTATAAAGTGAAAAATAGCTATAGATTCTTTGCCGACAATCGTATATTTAATTTAATCACGTGGGGAAATGGTGAAAGTACCTCAACTCTATTTTTTCTATCTAAAGATAAGGTACAATAGGCAATCTTTGACTGCAGTCACTACACTACCAAAATTGAAAACCCTACTAGATTCTAGCATCCACATTGCCCATCAAGATGCCAATACACCATTCTATTTCTTTTTCCTTTAGTTTTCTTGTTTTGTTTGGAGGGTAGGGTTTCTAAATAATTGAATATTAAAGATGATCCATGTGATTGTACCTTTACTTTTCTAGTTATACTATATTATTATTATTATTATTATTATTATTATTATTATTATTATTATTATTAATTCTATATGGTATCTGGTTCCGTTTTGGGACTCCATTACAACAGAAATTGCTTCATACCAGGATTTTTTCATTCCCAGACTTAAACCTAAAATCTCTAGAAAAAGTGCTGTAAAAGTGTCCTATATTTATCCCACAAAATCTTTGGCGGTAATATTTGTTGTTTTGTTCATTAGAACTGGTCTATACTCCCAAGTAAGAGTTAATTATTGTTTGAGAAATAGTATTCAGTTAGAACATCATTCATCATCGGACTTAAGAAATTTTCTTGCCAAGAAGGCTGAAATTTTCACAAAAGAAAACTCTCAGGAAAATTAACCAAGTATATTGTTTGAATTCTTTTTTACAGATTTTACAAAAGGGGGTAAAAAGTGTGCTTAAACAAACTTCAATATACAGAAACATTAGGTCCCAAATGTGAGCCAAAAGATGGTGACATTTGGCTGTTAGTACTTGCCAACGATATTAACTACCCTGCATCTCCTGCTCCTCCATTTACCTTTTTATCCCATGATTAATTGGATTTCATAAACTAATTTTGTTTAACGTTTTTAAAAATTTAGTTTTTTTAGTTTTTGGAGAAAATAGTTGTTTAACCTGTTTGCAAACTCAGCTTTTGGAAAACTTCAAACAAAATCACCAATTAAATAGTTAAGGGCATTTACTTTTTTTGGCACTTACTCTATTGCTCTATTTATGTAGGTACTAAGCAATGCTATATACAAAAGTGTAGAGCATAGAGTAATCGTAAATTCAGAAGAAGAACGAGTTTCCCTTGCATTTTTCTACAATCCCAGAGGTGATTTGATGATAGAACCAGCTAAAGAGTTGGTAACACCACACAATCCTCCATTGTATCCACCAATGACTTTTAATGAATATAGACTCTACATAAGGACAAAAGGCCCTCAAGGAAAATCACAGTTAGGGAAATCCCAAAAATCTTCAAGATGACTGCAAAAATATTACTAGAATAAGGTAATTACTATGAATAGTCACCGGCATCCGAGAAAGAATAGAAGAATGGGTTCTATTATGAGATATACGATGTACTATAGAAGTATGATCATTTCTTATGAACTTATTAAGAATGACTGATCTCGTTCATGACCTATTAGAAGTAAAAAGCGTTCAGATGGGATCTTCACAGACAGAAAAACATTACTGGATTTTTATTAAAGGGGGTGGGGGAGTCTTATTCGGTATTCAACGCCTGTTTTTTTTTTCTTTTGCCATATTTATTTTGAGTAAATTGACAAAATGGTGATCAACTGTCTTTATGCCGATTTAAAATGAATTGTAAATCCTGCTGTTTAATTAGCAACAGAAGAGTATAATTAATAAAGAAACTGTTAAATGAAATAAATGGAAGTGATAAGAAGTTATGGCCCTGTTTTATTTGGTTCTATCTGATTAAATGTTAAAAAGTGGTCCGCATAAGCTTCTCTTCACATATGGAAATTGGCCAAATATATCCCTTTAGTATCGGAAATTATTCATATTTACCCTTTGTTATACTATCAGTGTATTTGAATCCCTACCGTTATACTTTAGTTCAAAATTGCCCTTAATTTTAACAGAGGGACACGCTGCAGCTCAAGAGCAAAAAGCCTAACCTCCATTTTAAAATATCCGATCCAATTAAAACCCATCCCTAATTTAACCCATTAGCTCATTAGCCGACCCATCCGAAACTTCACTGGAAAAATCTATCCGCCAACTCATTTTTCTCTCTTAGCAAACCTTCGTCTCCCATCTTTCATTTCTTATTCACCTATAAACAAGAACCATCTCTCAATGTTATATCATCATTTTCTCCTTTATTCCAAAATTTTTATTTTAGAAGAACAATTCATCTAAGACTATCACAAAAAGCAGGAATAATTTTTACCGCCATGGAACTAAAGAGACAAAGGTCACCATCTCATTTACTGAATACTAGCTTCTAACCAATGAAAGGCCTGACTTTCTTCATTTGCATTGCTCGATTTTTCGCTATCTGCTTCTCTATTTCTTATTACCCATTCAATTAGCGTGAAATCACGGATACGTATCTGTCATAGAAATACATCTAGCATCATTATCACATTTTTATTCTTATTGTGTGATGATGCTACTGATTGGACTTGTATAAGAATAAGCATAACAATGAGTTGGAAACCTCAATTCCAAAAAAGAAATTGTTGTGCATCAATTGCAGTTATATTTATAAGTAAGATTGACAAAGATAAGTGACTACAAAAATTAGACCCAGTTCCAATGTCTTTTCATTTGGTTCGTATGAAAAAGGCTATGGGTTTTCTGAGATGGAACTGTGGAGCAGGAGTGATGGTGGAAAAACGAAGAATGATCAACTATAGCGATTCAATTAGTAAGATATGAAAAGGTTTCAGATGCGACTGTTTTCGGTTCGCCGGCGGGAACATCGATAATATCGACGATGAGAAATATCAATGATGAAGTCAAATAGCAAACATAACTTCTTTCCCAGTACTATTGTCTTATCGAAATTTGTTTGAATTTGATTGGGAATAAATGGAGAAAGAGGGGATACGAAGAAAAAGAGAATGGGGGATATGGGTCGGCTAGTGGGTTAAATTAGGGGTGGTTTTAATTGGATCAGGTGTTTAAAAATGGAGGTTGGACGTTTTATTCTTGAGCTGCCACATGTCCCTCCGTTAAAATTAAGGGCAATTTTGAATTGAAGTATAACAGTATGGGTTCAAATACACTAATTGTATAACGAAGGGTAAATTTAAATAATTTTCGATACTAGAGGGATATATTTGGCATTTCTCTGAATATGTCGATTTATGAACGATTGCAAGGATGCCCCTATATTTAATTGCAAGGATACCCCTACATTGTCATCTTCAATATTCTATATTTAATTCATCAACGTCTATGTAAGTAAGCAAGATCTTATTTATCACGTTTTCTTTTCATCTTAATGAATTCATCTGGTCGTTGCGTCACCAAAACAAAATGTCATGCTTAATCCGTGAGACGTTTTGTCGGTGGTTACATATCGTATCATAATATATTACTATTATATTATATTATAAGATCATTCAATCTTAAATTTCTAATTTAAAATTTATTTTCTATTTTTATTTATAAAAGATTATTCAACTTTAAGTTTGTAACAAATTTTTATTTTTTTATTTTTTGTCACATAAAAATTATTCAAATTTGAGTTTGTAACACAAAAAATATTTTTCTATTTTTAGTCACATAAAAGTTATTTAATTTTGGCCAAGCTAATTAAAAAGTAAATATCATATAAATTTTATATTTTGTAGCAGAAATATAATATGACACTCCAAAATAAGTTAGTTATATTTGGGATAATTTCAAAAACCTCCCTCCAAGTTTTACTAATCTTAGTTATGATTTACGAATATTATATTTACTTTTCTTATTTTGATTTTGTAATAATTTTGTTAACTCATTATTATTAATGTAAAAAATATAATTTAATTATTTTTTCCTTATTAATTAATATTCATTTGTTTAATGCACTTTATAAATACTTTTTGAATTAGCAGAAGAGCCATTGTTAGAGCATCAAGCAATTAAATGACAAATGCAAACTGTATGAGCTTGATATGTTCCCATGGCTTCGAGTTGTTACAAGGAAATCAAAATACGAAGATAAACGTAATCTCATAAACCACAAGGGAGAGTAATGTTAAGAAATGCCAGCCATATCATATTTTCTATTAAATTTAATTTATTACTTGTAATATGTTTTATTAAGCTAACTAGCTATTTTGGAGTGTCAAGTCATATTCTTTTGGTACAAAATATAAAATTCAGATGATATTTACTTTTAATCAACTTGGCCAAAATTAGATGACTTTTATGTAACAAAAATATAGAAAAGTATTTTTTGTGTTACAAACTCAAAATTGAATGACTTTTATGTGGAAAAAAAGTTAAAAAGTGACTTTTATGTTACAAACTCAAAATTGGTGAAATTTATTCATATAATATTGGGATTATTTTCCGTTGTTTCATGATGTCAGACACCAGAAATATGAAGATAAACTTGCAATATCTATATAGAATAGGAGAAGCAAATCAATGTGATGATACCAAGTGTCACAACAAAAATTTAACAAGTGTCCAATTTTAGGAAAAAATTAGTTAGGTTAGTTAATAATTATTCGTTACTTTTTTTGAATTTGAATATAAAATAATTAAATATCTATATATTTTTAAGAAAACTATTATAAGAAATAAAAATATATATATAACTGTATAAATTCAATGTAGAGATATATTAATTAATGAATAATACAATTAGATAAGCAAGAAACCAAAACAAATTGTGGGAAAATATAAGACTTATAATCAGAATTATGATGAGAAAAGTCATACATATAAACATAACTAAAATCATAATAAACAAATAGTTATAAGGGAATAACACTAACAAAAAGGAATTTCTCATGTAGGAAATTTTAGTTAATAATAGAACTCATAAATTCATAATAAAAAATACAAAAAAAATAAAGATACTATTAGGATATTATACATAAGATAAGCATATATATATATATATATAATAAAATATTGGTAGGTTTTTTATAAAAATAATAAAAGGCTTATCTCTTTATATTTTTGATGAATTCAAAATTATAATTTAGTAAAAAAAACATGACCTTATTTAAATTTTTAGTAAACTACAAATGAGAAAACTAATCAAATATTACAGTAGAAAAGAATGTACTAAAAGAAGGGGATAAAGATAGTTATATGATATTTATATTTTGAATTAATTAAAAATAAAAGATAAATAAATAACACTCAAAAAAATTATTGATGAATTTAGACCATTGAAGAATTTTGAACAGCATAACATAAGTTTAAAAAAATTATTTTCAGATCAAAAAAGTATGTATCTATGTTTTATTAAAAGAGAAGTAATATCAAAATATAAGCCAATTGACAAGTTAATAAAAAGTCATTCATAGTAAATGTATACTATGTATATCATTTGATTTTGTATAGATTTTGCTATATTTCTGTATACTATATTAAATAATATAATAACAACTAAGATTTATTAAAATAATATGATATATTAAAGTAAATTTTTTTAAAATTAATATTCTGTCAAATTATCCGCGCATCGCGCGGGTTCTAACAATAGTGTATATATAGTAGATGTTGAATTCCTTTAGCTTCGTCACGTGCTTACCTTTTTTATTTTATATGAATCTCCTTGGTGAAAATCTTGTCTAAGACATCAATCTGAACTATTATCTAGTTACAAAGAAAAGTAGGGTACTATATAGATTTATTATATAAAAAGGTAGGGTAAAGGATAAAATAGAAGTATTTAATAATAAAAAAGGGCAAAATAAATAAAAATAAGATAAAAACGCGACTGTACCAAATCGATTGTTATATAAAGGAACGCTTTTCGTCGATAAATAACGACGAATTTAATAATATGCTACAATAAAACTTAATTAATCAATCAAAATAAATATTATATTTAAAATAACAATAAGGTATATATAACGGGTAACATCCATCTGTAAGCCGAATACTCTAGATCAATGTGATCTTATATATTTATCTGATCTCTTTTTGTACGATCTTATACGTTACAACCAACGTTATATTGGAACTATCGAAAGAATTTCTGGTTCAATTAATTTGTTATCACATTTATTAATTATCGAATAAAGAACCATTTAAACATTAGAACGGAGTAGCGGATTACACTCCAAAAAAGCTTTAACATTAGAAAGGACCTTGTTTGGCAATTGGCATGTGATGAAGCTTTGCCTAATGCAAAGATGAGTAATTTGATTCACTTATCATTGCAAAGAATTGTATCATCTGAGTATATTAGCTTCACTTATTTAGTAAGAGAGTTAGTAATAAACACGGAGATCTAAAGTTTTACTCATTTCAGAAAGAAAAAAAGCATCTATAAGAACAAAAAGGCTGTCTCATTTAAGAGTTGTCCCCGTATATTATTAAATTTAATTGTACTTGTTTACCCTCAGAATCGAATAACAATTAAATTTGTAAGTGGTTTTAAGGATACATGGATATATTTTACACAAAGCAGTAAATAAAGACAAATTAAGCTACCGTTTGGCCATAGGTTCCCAAATTTGTTCTGAAAAATCTGATTTGGGTGAAATTTGGTTTGAAGATGAAAATGTGTTTGGACATCGGTTTTCAAAACATATTTCCCAAATTTATTTTGAAAAAACATGAAACATGACGTATACCCACAAGTTCTAAAAACTAC